ACTCCAACATAAGTGATTATATCCAAGTATGTCCTCTGTTCTGGAGAGATGTCTGTGGGGATGTCTGTTGCCATCAGAAGTGAAAAAGAAGTGAGGTGGTTGCAGGTGCAGGTCACATTATTGTTTATGTCAGAAACAAACTTACACCCTGTACCATCCCAAGCACCGAGATGATCAAAGAGTGTGAAGTTCCAGAAGACGCACTGTGGGTTCCCTGTCAGGGAGTTGTTCAGCTTTTCATAGCTCAGAGTGACATTCTGAATTGTTGCATTTAGTTTGACAAGCACCACAGCAGCATTGATGTTGTTACCAATGTCAGGTACATTCTTGTTAAAGAGGCCGGTGTTAAATGCATAGTTCCGTGCTGGCATAACATTAGTAAAGTTGAAGAAGGTGATGGTGGTGATAAATGAATTGGTAAGATTAGTGTTTGGAATGTATATGGTGATGCTTGAGTTCAGCTGATCCCAGTAGGAGGTAGTGAGTGCAGATCTTTTGAGCAGAATCACTCCTGAGTTTGTGCTGAAGTTAGACACATTGACTAACCTGGTAGACAGAACCTCCACTGAATTCATTAATTGTAAAGTGGCATTGCTTTGATTATTATTCAGATATGTCCAGGAGCCTTTTGCATCATTACCAGTAATGGCATCAACCATTTCTAGTATAGTCTGCAAATGAAGAAATATTTCTTTGTGAGGGTACAATCTCATTAAAAGTCAAAAGGTACATTTGTTGCCATAACACATATCATTTCTTAAAATTCTATGAGGTAGAGTTTAACTTACCTTCATGGTGTCAGATTTAACTGCAGTGAAAATATTTGCAACGGTGTTTAGGATTTCAGTGATAGCTGATATGGTTGCAGGTAAATTGACAATATCGCTTTTATTACCCTGGACAGCATTACTTAGGTTTCCCACAAAATCTGTCACATTGTTCTCTGTCAGATACTGAAAGAATGAAAATTTTTTTTTAAAAGTCTTGATATTTTGATACTATGGGATTTCAGATTATTCATGGAAAATGCAGGCCAAAACTGTTGTGCAACATAACATGTAGGCCACAAGACTGTGGACCAGGAAATACTGCTATTCAGTGGAAATTAAGCAATTATGCCTTGTTTTTTTTTTTCAGAACACGTATGAACGGTTTGTCAAAAATATTCCTAATAAAATACTCATAAGTCCCATGTAAATTGAGAAAATTATTGGTCATTATAGCCCAAATCTACAAGCATGTACAAGTACAGTATGCACATGGCATCATGGCAGTGGGAAAAAATGACCTGGAGAAAACTAAAACATTCACAGTAAATGGATATCACTAAATTCAGTCAACCAGACTCAGATTATCACCATTTGCAATCAACAGACAAACTGACTTTGGTACATGAAAGAACCAGGTGAGCCCCAAAGCCCCCAGGCAAGATCATCAGCACTCAGCCTACAGAAAGCAGTTTGGTAGATCACAATACATACCTTCAACTTATTGAATAAGTCACCGATTTCTCCTATGATGCAGGTGTCTTGCTGAATGCTCCAATTTCCAGGTGACACACAGACCAAAATAATGCTCCCGATAGTACATGTTATATTTTCTGTGGTATGTTCTGGTCCAGCCCCATAAAAAGCATGATTACACCAAACACCTTGAAATTTAAATAATGTATTAGTGAAAAAGAAATTGTAAATGCAGTGTAAATGGGGTTTGAAATGTTGATTGGAGTTGGAAATTTTGAACAAAGTAAAACATCAGTTAGGAATTCAAGTCAAACAAAATGTAATAAACAAGTTTTTACTTACGTATTTCTCCAGAGTCAAAGGCAGGGAAAGTGCCCTTAATTTCACTGAGGAATCCTTTCCTTGCTGTTTGTAGTTCACTCCCAATAGTCTGGCCTGTCCGAAGAACGTAGTTTACATTTACACTTCCTGGACTGTAAGGGACAAAAACAAAGCCAAAAATGTGATATGGAATGTGGTTTAATTACTGCCTCAAAATTTTTGTTATTACCAAAATTAGCATACTGCACCTGAACCCTGTCACAAAAGCACTGATATACCCAGGGATTATTTTGAAATTATTCTGTAACTGTGGAGAGATATAGTTAACAATAACAACATTAGAACCCAGAGAACTGAAAATACAAGGTAGAAAAGGAGGGACCTGGCCCTCGAGGGCTGCTGCCTTGCTTGTCTGAAGATAGCATCTTAGGTGAAGGTGGAGTGAGGAAAGAAAGTGAATTGGTATCTTCCAGCTTCTGACTGACTGAACACACCTGATCCAGATAATCAGCAGTGGGTAGGGCAGGGATAATTGGAACACAGGCAGGGCAGAGGCCCTCAAGGACCAGGATTGGCCACCCCTGAGTTAGAATAGGGTGTAAACAGTGTGCTTACCATGTTATTAATCCTAGTTTCAAGATCCTTGTATGTAGAACTTGTTGGATCATCTAATTTTGGATCATAGTCCTTCAACAATGTGACTGACAAAGGCACCTTAAAAACTATGTTGTAAAAACGGATGAAAAAAGGACCAAAGCTATTAATACACATTTTGATATTTTTGGTGATGTACTGACAGATAAACAAGGTAAGGTAGACAGG